GTTTTTTTTTTTTCGGTGGCAGGTGGTTTACCAGCCTGGTAGCAGGAATTCCGAATCCAGCTGTTTGTTTTGTGAGTGATCAATATGCAGCAAATGTTTATTGTACACACTTTGATAGATAAATAGACTATATTACCTATGGCATTAAAAAAAGTTGAAGAAACAAGTTCTTGATTCAGGGTAAACGCCTAAAATACCTGATGTATTTTAATGCTTTGATTGCTTTGTTTTTAGTGCTATAGCTTAGAAATTAAAAGTCTGTACCGGCGATGGGCACTGCCTTGCCCGCGGGCAAAGCTCTTTAAAGCTTTTTTTATATGTGGTATAGGCGCGTTCAGAGTAAAGGTTCTCTCTGCCCTCGGCTGGTCTATACCAAATCTTTAAAAGCTTTACTCGCGATATATGGTTTGGTCGTTACTTGGCGACATACTTATACTATATTTCAATGATAGCCAGCGATAGCTTTCGCCCTTTGTTGATCTGTACAAAATAGTGGCGACCACAAGGAGCTCTTACTCTGTGTGCGTCTGCGTAAAACAGAGTTGGTCAGCGAAAGCTTTCATTTTGTGCCTTCCCTATACAAATTGTACACAGAACTTTTGAAAGTTTTGGCACGCGGGCCTATTAAGTGGCCAACTGTGGCGCAAAATTATTATGAAGTTTTAAAAGCTCTCTAGAAAACTTAGCTCTTCCCGCATTGGGAAAGCTTGCCAAAAATTTCAAATTATTTATTAGGGGTGTTCTGGAAGTCTTGCAAAGCCCTTGCTCGGTTTTTACCATGCAATCCATGCGCCGTTTAGTTCAGTGCTATACCAGCGACAACCGGCGAGAGCTTTTCCATGAAAAAATTTATAAGTGAGAAATTTTTTGGCCGTTTCTGACCCTTTTACTATGGGCGCGTCTTTAAAAATTAATATTCCATTTTAAAAGCGCCGCTCCTCTAGAAAACTTTAAAAAAAGCTCTTCCCTGCCTAAGAAGGGTTACCACCTAATTTAAAACGAATTGCATGAAATACTTAACATTTATTTATTTTTTATTTTTTTATTTTTAGGAAGAGCTAAGGCGCTATGATATAGTGGTTAGCACTACCATTCCGTAGGCCCTGGGTTCGAGCCCAGTTTCCGACCACATCAAAAAGATAAAAAAGAAAAATATCTAATAGCGGTCGTCTGTCGGCAGACAATGGCGAACCTCCGAGTGTATTCTGACTTGAAACATTCCCGTTTCGGAGTCGGCCTAAAACTGTAGGTTCAGGCCCCTTGTGTGACAACACGAGAGCTTACGCCACCGGAGGAGAAATTAGGCTAAGCTCTAACATATTGTGTAAACGCCGATCTATTATTATTATTAACTTTCAAGACGAATAGGGTTGCCTCTTATGCAGTTCATTTTGAATATGAAATTATAAGCAGAGCATCCTATCCAACAAACCCTATAAGCGAGGTTGTTATGAACATATTGATTCTATAACAAAAAAAAAAAAATATTTTGAGCAGAGTTACCACCCACATAATTCTGATGAATTTTACTTCACCAGTTGTTGGCGTACATTTGTTTTTCAATTGAACTCCCGCTTTTGGCAATAAATCAGCAACCACACTAATAAAATGCAAAAAATAATGAATAGTAAAAATTGCAAAAATTACAAGTATTATGATAAATGGCTTCGAAAGGCCTTGCCATGCTTTAACTTGCACACAAACAAAGTATTAGAATTGAAACGAGTATTTATCAAATAAAAAATATATAAAATATTACCTGCGAGTGAATTGAGGCATGCGCAGAATAATTAGGCATTTACAAATTCCTTTTGATCGTCAAAATGCGCATGCGTGCAGACGCTTTGGGCTTTTTTTTCTTTTTTTTTTCGCCTGCAGCCACCCCGCTTGCACTGGTCTCACACGCAGGCCCCTCAAGCAACTTGCTCCCTCGCGTGTTAGCCACAAGAAATCTTTTTCCAAATACTTGTCAAATTTATATGCGTTATTTTTTCTTGTTTCCATCAAAAGCAATTCGTTTCCAAATCGAACATTAAGAAAATTTGCAAGCAAAGCATTTATTTCAAATTAAAAGCGCAGCTAATTGCAATCTCCTACATTGCCTTCACCCCCGCGCCGACGGCCTACTGCGTGCGCGTGTGTAATATTGCCGGTTTTGGGCGCCAGTTTATCGCCAAATTGTCAAAATCGCTTAAGTATATTGAATTTAAAATGCAATGTAAGCCATTTAAAATGCATTAAAAATTCATGAAATGCCTTTGCTGTCACATTTGAGCGCAAGGCACCAAGCTTACATATATACATGTGTGTGTGTATGAGAGGGAGTGTGTGTGTGTGTGTGTGTGTGTGAGGGCGTATTTCATCGGCTTATCAACAGCTGTCGACGATATGCGTCGTTACGTACATAGACTTATTGAATTGCATATCGAGTATAATGGAGAGATTGTACAAATTTAAGGATTTGTTTTCGGCGCTGGCTGGCGTGGAATTCATTAAAATTTTAGCTAAAAGTGATTCATTAGTTGATTTTCAATTTACGATAAATATATGTAGGTAGGAGGGTATATCGGAAGCAAGTTTTCACGGCTATCGGTAATAAAAAAATGTCCCATTATTTATTGCCTCTGAGCAAGTTTGAATATGCTGACAACCATAATTTCTAGAAACAACCATACTTTCAGAAATCAATGTAGACAAACTTTTTTTGATTGTAAATAACTACAAAATAACCTCTGGCAAGACCCATGAAATATGAAACTAGCTACTGGACCAGCTTGGAACAATTTTTACTATCGCACTGTGTCCCCACCTACCTTAAGTTTCTTAGCAAATCACACACGTCCCGGATGGCAAATGTAAAAACCTTTCCTCGTCTCTACAAAGGTGATATCGACTGCCTTGGCATTTTCGCGGGTATCTTTCTAGCTTGGAATAGCCTTTGTTTCACTGTCCCTTTAACACCATAAGTCAGCTTATTTCCCGATGTCATTCACGACATTTACACCACAGTTATCCGACTCATTCTAACCTATGGACCGCTGGCCTTGTGGAAAGCACTGAATAAAAGCAACTATCAGAAAAAAAAATTAAGCATGCTGAGACTTGCAATATTCAGCATATCAGACATGAAGCTACCACATGTATTCGTAACAGACGCGGGCGCAAAAGATTGTGGAAGCAGGCCAATTACAGGCACGCAGAGATATTGTCTCAAGGCCGACTTAGATACCGAGTGCAGTTTTTTGCCATATAGAAGAAGGCTTGTCTGATACGGGATAGGAGATCTCTACCAGGGAATGTCACTATATTCGCGAACAGCCAAGCGACATTGAAAATAATGGGTCATTCGTCCGTGGCTGCTTAACCTAACCTTTACTCAATTGGTACCGGAGAAAATCTTACCTTTGCTGCTTATTTCTCAAATCTTTTGCAGCATTAACCACACTCAAGTCATTCGTCTTTGGTATTTCCTGATTTCGGAGTCGCTGCACTCGAACATATCTATATGTTACCGGCCAAACCCGACCTTAGGACAAACTAGGTTTTCCTAGGCTAAACTAGTTTGAACTAGATTCGATATATCCATCCAACGCGGAATCAAGTTGGATGCAACAATATTGTAGACTTCGTAGCTGGAGTTGGACTGATGCGGGTTATTTTATTGCAGCACGCCGAAGGCCGCTTACGCGCAAAGGAGTTCTGCTCAAAAATACTGTGGCGCCTGATCTAGTTTAGCCTAGGCAAAACTAGTTGGTCCTGATATCAGGTTTTGCCGGTAACATATATAACTGATCATTTTTCGTATGGATTTTGTCTTTTGATGTAAAAGAAACTGATCGTGTTCATCAGTAATTTAAACAAAGTAGTAAAAGTTTGACTATGTAGTCCTTCTCAGTTATGTAGCTGAATATGTTTTGAAAATGTCTTGCTTTCCATGCTCTTTTAAACGAAGTAAGACTCCAGTATCATTTGATTTAAGATTCAATTGACGCATCGGGATGGAAATAACCTAAATTCAATCACTTATTCGACTCTTCGCTTACAAATTGAATCTCAATATGTCTGGCTTAACAGACTTGAAGTAGACTCTTAACTGGTTGAAACAAATACATCACATCTTGGGTTTTCATTTCCTTGAAATTCCATGAAATATTCGTCGGCACAGGAGCTCGCGAGCTATCCGCGACTTCACTTTACTTCAGCAGAAGGTCTCTGTGTAACCCGTTTTCCGAATATTTAAAGCGAAAGTGAGGGTACATCTTCACTTCGTGAAAAGAGGAATAGATTCCCTTCGAATATGGGGCTAACGCAGACGAGCCACCCCTTCATTTAGAAAACAATCACTTCTCAGCTTTCACACCCCTATATCTGCCGTCGTACCAATTTAAATTCCGTACTTTAATCTTCGGCATAATAACATAATAAGACATTACTCTAGGTACTTCAACGAAAGGTTACCCATTTTGGCAGATATTTATAGCTGGTTTGGAAGTTATTTCCGCCTCCTCGAACGATGAAATCAAGAAAACAGCCGCTTTAAGGTTTACATATGAGCCCCTAACGACGAATCTATAGTTGAACACTCTAACATTCGACGTCCATCCTTCTCTAGCAAATACACTTTTTTGTTTTTCCGAGTTTCTTCTCTACTGTGTGGTGTGCGGCTTGATGTTATAACCCAAATGGAGAGATCTAAAATTTTACGCGGACTCCGAACTGCAAATGGATTTTATGAGAAGCTTTTTCATAGCAGATATGCTATACACTCGCAGGTTTTCGATTGCCTGCCGAGCGGCGATTGCTGTTGGAGAAGAATTTTTTTTAATGCTCGCACCAGGTATCGAACCCAGGTCCTATGCACCTCTAACCACTCAGCCACAGTGGTCTACCTATGTATGTAATTAATATACATAACTTCGTAATAAATTTTAATTTCATAATCAATTAATATGCATATTTATCTCACATTATCTCCTCTTTCTATGCTATATCTTTTCCAGTTCTGCGCATGCTCAACAGTCAATCGGAGTCCATGACCGGCGGCGGCCTTTTCCCGCCACTCTTCAATGTAGCACCACGCGCACGCATCACCGTCAATGCCACCTGTGGTCAGAGTGGGCGTGAAGAATATTGCAAATTAGTCGATGCATATCCGCACAAAAAATGGGCCACACAGTGCGGCATTTGCAATGGGCAATCATCCGATGCAGCCAAACAGCGACCCATTGAGGCTGTCATCTCCAATTCGAATTTCGACGAACGTTGGTGGCAATCGCCGACGCTGCAATACGGCAGACACTATGAATATGTCACCATAACATTGGATTTGCAGCAGGTAAGACGTAGCGGCACGAAATAGTCGAATAAGGCGTAGTTAGTAAATGATAATTTTATTCAAATTGAAATGCCATGGGTGGCTTCATAATTTTCAAAGTGGGATTTTGCAACAATAACATAATACTGCCATAATATTTGGACATTTAAATCAATGTTTGGCCAGCTGGAGGTGATCGATTAGCGCTCCTGCAGAGTTTGTGTGGGTTGTTGTTTGGTGAGATCGTTGACGATCGTTCGCGATCACTTTTGATCACTTAAGATCGCTGTGATGATGCAGTGAGTTGAGATAGCGTTTTGTTGCGCGCTGAAGATCCTGTTTCGATCAATGCGCGCGCGCTCTCCTTTTTTTTTTTGAATTTTCTATCCCCCTAGCGACTTTCACGCTGCTAGCCAGTTGATTGATGATGTCAATTAAGCGTGTACGACAGCAACATGCAGGAATGCACACCGCACGAGTGAAGATATACGGCGATAAATAGTATAAATGTGCGTACATACAATGTTTTTGTACTAACATTGATCTTGTCGCTCTTTAACAGGCGTTTACTTAATTCGATTAGTAAGCGTTAGTGGCGCGCAGATAAAGCCGTCAAAAATGACGGAAGCGAGTTACAGTACATCACACCAATAGTTAATGGCTACAAAGGAGCATTTGAAGCTTATGGGGTGGGGTGGGGTGGGTATAAGAAAGTGCTGATTAAAAAGCGCGAAATGACTGCAAAATAAGTTGTTGAGAATGTTGTAGAGCTCCAACTTGCTTAAATGGATTGCGAAGCTAGGCACAGACAACGTATTGGCGTTCAGGAATGTATGTAATTGTTGTGCTGATAGCAAACCACTGTGATCAACTGTTATAAATACACTAATCAACTTAAGCACTCAAGGACTCATGAGAGTCAATTTTTTTTCTTTTCACGAAATGCAGTAAATATTACGCGCTACTCTGAACAAAGAAATCATTTCCCTCCTACAAAGCGGCGCGGACGATTTATGACTGTCATATATTAATTATGTCGAGACAATACTTTTGCGCTCGTATATGGCGTTGTACTTCGTTCTTGAAGATTTAATTAATACCAATTGACAAGCGAGTTCATGTCTTCAGGCAGGCGAAGTAATGCGACGAGAGATCAGATTTTTATTTTGAAAAATGCCTTCCTTTCAGCATCATACATTTCTTAATAAAAATCTCGCCAGGCGGTCATAAAATTTTAATTTTTGTACTTAAGACATCCTGCTTCAGATTTATGAATGATGCTGAAATTCTGAAAATGCATTGAAATTACCAAAAATATGGACTACTTGAGAAAAGTACATGGGTAAATGAACTTAACCACCAGGGGATTTTTTAATTGGCCCACTTTATTACCAAAGGTTTTGTCGTTTGATGGCGAGTGATAGCTCGGCATGATTCGAATAAAAATGTAAATTAATTTCCAACTGGCCTACGAAAGCTTTCAAAATTTGTATGTAAAATATTTTTGAGTTTCAAGTTTTTCTTCTATTTTTTTCTCTTCGAGTTCTTTCTATCCCAAGGCACAGATGCAGGATATTCAAATACCACGTGGAATATATTGTCGCCTTTGTGAACCATTTGATCTCTGAACAGATCCAATTGATTCCGTTATGGTCCATGAGACCTTTTTGAAACTAATGGCGCTTTCTTTTCTACAACAGAAGTTGCCTTTTCATTGCCCTCTCCTTAGTATTTGTGCGTAGAGGGCAATGAGATGGCAACATTTTTCGGTAGAAAAGAAAACGCCATAACTTTCTGCCCAATTGTGTCTTCCCTCCCTTTCAAAAAAATAAAAAATCAACATCCGCTAGTTATATGGTCTTAAAGGGTTTGACGTTGCTCTTGACCGATCCGTTTCCGCTTTAGTTTCCGTCATTGCAGCTTATATTTCTTGACCTTGTCCGAATACTGCGGTAACATCTCGTATTTGGGGGGCTTCCTTCGGAAAAGACTACTGTCGAGCCAAAGGAAACACGCGAACCTCACTGAAATGAGCTCAGACGAGTTGCACCCGGTAGCGTGAACCAGAGTTTCCCTCTTCGAGGGAGTTATCCTTGCATTTAAGTGCGGACTTGTAGTGACTTATAATTACCTTCTCACATGTTGGTGAAAACGAGAGTTTTTTCTCTTGGTCGCAGCTCATTACACGCTCACTGGGAAGCAGAAGGCTGTCGATTAGATAAGCAGACGGACAGAACAAATTCACCAGGCTCTCTCCACGGGTCGGATGCTTGAAAGTCTACGGGGAATATCACGGCGCGCTTGACGCGTGCTCCGATCTTTTTGTCCTATCTTTTGGCTTGTGTCAGCTCGATGTGGTGGAGTTTTAACGCAACCGGGTGGCGGACACAAAGTACGGCAGAGGTTGCAGATGGGCATCGAACTTTTCCAAGGTAAATTGTGCTCCCATTCCGTACCGCTGATTGGTGCCGATAATGCTTGCATTTCAGGGTGCTTCAATTGATTCGTTGTATTTGTGAGTATATTGGGTTTGGGCCATCGTCGGCAGGGATCCATGTAAAACACATCACAATGTGCACAGTACTAGCTAAGCTAGCCTAGAGCTCAGCTAAGAATGCAATAAAGGGCACACACGCATGTTTTCCGTGCTGGTCTATTAGCCCTGAAACATCCAATAGGGTACTCATAACAGTCCGGCACCAGCGACCTGATTAACGCTACGATTCGTTTACATATCCATGCCCTCAAATTACGCGAAGTTAATTTGCATACTCCAATTTTACACATTTCCATAATCGCCAAAAAAAAATAAAAACATCTCACCCGCTATATCAGCTCGTACGATCACAAATCGTATTTCAACAAATTGTCAACTTGTTTGCGAATACAAAATCCTCATGTTTATACAAAAATGTCAAAATGGCAAGCCAAAACAGCTTGACAACTACATTTCGCCAAAAGAAGTCAAAGCGCCAACAGCAATACTGTTGCTCCACAATTGCCACCACAGCCACCAGCGTCACTTTAGTTTCGGCTTCAGACGAGGAGTATGCGCGCCAACATCCATCGGTAACCTGCCGCTGATCAGTGGCATAGCGTTGGCGCGATTTTGCACGCCGCTTGTGTGTCTCCTGTGGATGTGTGTGTGTATGTATTTGCGCATATTTCGATTGTACCTGCCACGGTTACAATTTCATTTTCATGTTAATTCGTTTTGGATTAGATTCGGTTTCGGTGTTGCTGCATTCAAATTGAAATTGAAGTTAGATTTTAAATTTAAATTTAGTGTTGATTTTGCTTTTCGATTTGGTGTTGGTACAAGAATTGCAATTCCGATTGGAATTGGAGTCGCGAGTTTTTTGAGTTGATGCAAAGCAAATGCGCGCCGACATGGTGACAAAATTGTATAAATGTTTCACTAAAATGGAATCTTAATTGGCACCCAGTGTGTTGCTTTACAAATTTGGTTTGCTTGCGAACAATACGCACACAAGTCAGCGGCGATCAGTCATTGACGGCTGAGCGATAGTACGCAACTTGATGACAATTTTGGTTTTATTTTTCTTTCTTTGGTTGCAAAAATTTACAAATTAAGTCTATTTGGGCTCCCAGGTGGAAAATGAAGTGATTAAGCTGTTTTGTGGCGCGTTGAAAGGTGTGGGAATGAGTTTTGTGATATGTGGCATGATCGCTTGAGTTTATCGTAAAAACCAATCGCTGCAACAGTTAATGGAAATCTCAACTTGCGAATTCGGCAGTTTATTATAGAAAATATAGGACGAAATGGGATAAGTACATAGACCTTTTTAACTTCGTCGCTGAAGGCTCTAAAAGCATCAGCCAGATGAAATTTAAAAGTCTCGAAAGAGAGTAAACTAACTCAATGCAGTCATAATATTTTCAGTTATCATCCTAGTAATGCCTGAGATGTGGAAAATACCACTACGTAAACCAGGGAACGCGACCAACCTAGGAGAATCATCCCAACCGACATTTCGCTTTTCCCAGTGTCTTAGTGGTCTCTTCCACCTGGTGTTCCACGAACTATCTGAGCGATTGGAACTCATCTATGGCATTTCATAGTTCAAACCCTATAACTGGGAAAGTTTTAACAGTAGATCAACTAAAGAACGTTTCCTTGGTCCCAGACCCCGCGGCTGCTCGATTTTTGCTTCGGACAATGGCGTAAGTTTGTTGGCTACTTCCATACAAGTCAATTTATTGGCCGGACGGAGGACTGTTGTTGTTGTAGCGACACTACTAAACTGCGTCTTTTTCGATTTGACCATCAATCGTTGTCGGCAAGCACAACTAACGGTAGGCCTAAGAAACGAGCAGTTTCGACGCAGTCGGGACAAAGGGAGAGGTGTGCTAGTTCACTGGGGCTGAGTTGGCATGGGAAGAGGTGGTTGGTGTCAAGAGGGCAGTGTCCACATGCCGGACACTCATTGGGGGTATTGGGGTCGAATCTGGGCAAGTGGTTGTTGAGAGCAAGTAACGCTGGCATCTCTTGGCAGTTGAAGCTCCCTGCCCGCTACAGTTGGTGACTGGGCTCCGATCACGGCATTCATACGCCGGGAGTTGTGGTACGTGATGACTGACTCCATATGAATGCCGTTGATCACTCGTCGGTACATCGTCGTACACTCGTCTAGTGGTTGGTCGGGACCGAGTCCATGTATATGAAAAGCTTCCCTCTAACGTACCTGGGCGGAGGCTACTCCACGAGCCAGGGCATATTGGGGTGCTGAAGTCAATGACATCGCACCAGAAACTGAGCTTGCTGAGCAGTTTTTAATGCTCTTACGGAATGCTTTTTGACCTAGCTGTGGAGCTGGTGCTCAGGCGACATCAGAATGCACCATGTCGCTGTCCGGAGTGCGGCGATCTGACAAGTATGTAGCTTCGTCCAATGCGTCCTACTAGTCCCCGGCGACCATACAGGCGCTATATAGTTCAGAACCGGCCGGCTAATTGCCTTGTATGTTGCCAGCAATGTTTCTTTGTTTTAGCCCCAGGTG